ACATTCAAGACCAGGCTGGACAGGGCTCTGAGCAACCTGATCTAGTTAGCGGTGTCCCTGCTCGCTGCAGGGGGGTTGGGCTAGATGACCTCTAGGGTTCCCTTCCGACCCAAAACTTTCTATGATTCTATGATTCTATAATGCAAGATTGCTTGGCACATAGCCTGGAAGCTGCCTGCTCTGCCCATGTCAATGGGTAACTGCAAGCGCAGGTGGCTGAAACCAAGCTGCCTCCTCCTGAGGCAGAGTCACAGGGATGTTCTCTATGGTCCCAGCAGAAGTGTCCAATGCCTCGTCTAAAGACCCTGGCATTGCAGGACTTACTCTGAAACATCCCCTCCAAAATCCTGTCAGCTGATCTCTGCGAGGACTGGATGTGTGCTTTGGAGGAGCAGAGCAGCAAGGGAGATGGGAAGAACTGGAAGAGTAAGTTTTCCAACCAGTCCCACAGCTATGGACCTGCTGGGGCCCCTGCATTAAAGATGGCAGCCCAGCCAGCCTATCACTGGGCCTTGTCACTGCGTATTTCTGACGGGTGAAAAATGGGGGCAGAGAGAAAAGTGCAGAGGCGGGAACTCTGTGGTGGACAGAGCAGCAAACTTCAGGGCTGTATTCCCCCTTCCAGCCCCACAGTCCGTAACTGCATGCTTGGCCACACAGCCCCGGACCAGAGGATCCATTGGAGTCTGTGCCATTAGGGAAGTCCTAATTGCCCTGGGAGGCATGCAGGAAGCACTGGAAGCTGTGGGATAGGAGGGCTTATGCGCAGTTTGGAGCCAGGCTGAAGACCTTCCTCAGGGTAGGGGCTGTCTTGTTCCCCTAGACATGTGCACAGCTGCACATGCGTGGGAGCTCACGCAGAGCCAGGCTGTGTCCACGCCACCTGCCCAAAGCCCTACTCATGCTCTAGGAAGGAGCAAATTCCTGCTCTGAGCCCTTCACCAAGGAGCAAAGCACCCTGATGCCCACTCTGCTCCTCCTGTGCTTCCTCCAGCTCCTTGTGCTCCTCTTCCTTGCACCTGCTGTGCTTTTGGCCAAGATGCTTTTCACCCGCAGGACCCAGTGCCCCCACTTTCTGCCAACCCTACTGGCAGAGCCTGGGTAGGAGGGTGAGAAGCAGCGAGTCCTGAGGCGGGGACTCCTGCAGAAAGTCTGGATGTTCCTGCAGCAGCCCTAGCTCCCTGCTGGGAATCACAGCCTCCTGGGAATCCTGCAGGACAGTTGGGGAGACTTGACATGGAAGTCAAGCTGATGCTGGAGGCATTGATTCAGGAAACTGCAGCAAGCTTTGCTCGAAGATTTGACATGATGGCAGAGTTTGCTGAGGTGCCATGCCAGGAAGAGCAGAAGGGGCAACCTAAAGAGGAGGAGGTACAAGTCACTAAGAGCAAATGGGACTGTCTCAGTAATGCTTTTTGTAGGAGATACAATCGTCTGCAGCAATGAAAGACCCGGCCTGAAATAGTCTGATTTGCCTCACAGTGTCCTGCTGGGCTTGACATCCATCAGAGCAGCCGGGTCCCTCTCTGTTGCACTTTGCAGAGGGCTTCCATTCCGCAACGTAGAACGGGAGCTTTTCTTTGGACTAACCATACCCCAGGAACCCTGTGTGTTCAGGTACCGGATCAAGGGTCAAAGGAAGACCGTGGAAAACATGGGCCTGCTGCTGAGTGGTGCAGGGGACCTGGTACCAAATGACATGGAAAAGGCCAAGATACTAAATGGCTTCCCTCCTCCATGTTTTCTGGTAAGACTACTTTTCAGGAATCCCACGTCCCTGAGAGGAAAGGAAGCAAGGAAGACCTACCCTCAGTGGACTAGTACTAGATTAGGGACTGGTTAAACAAACTGGATGTAGATAAGTCCATGGGGAAGAGTGCTGAGGGAGTTGGATGATGGCATTGCAAGACCACTCTTTGAATGGTCATGATGACAGGCAGAGGTTCCTCAAGACTGGAAGTGAACAAATGACACTTCTATCATCAAGATGCCAAGAAAAAAGATCTGAGGAATTACAGGCTGGTCAGCCTCATCTCAATCCCTAAAAAGGTGATGGAGCAACTAATCCTGGAAATGAGTTTCAAACACATGAAGCACAAAAATGTCATCAGAAGTAGTCACTATGATTTATGAAGGGAATAATCATGCTTAACCAATGTGAAGACCTTCTACAATGAGGTGACTCGCTTGGTGTCTTGAGGGGAGAGTAGATCCAACAGTGGATGTTCTTTACCTTGCCTTTAGTAAGGCTTTTGACACTGTCTCCCAAAACGTCCTTGTAGACAAACTGAAAAAAGTATGGGCTAGAAAAATGGACAGTGAAGTGGTCTCAAGACTGTCTGAATGACTGGGCCCAGAAAGTTGTGATCAGTGGCACAAAGTCCAGCTGGGGACAAGTCACTAGTGGTGTATCCCAGGGTCAATATTAGGGCTAATATTGTTTAACATCTTCATGAGTGACCTGGATGATAGGACAGAGTGCACCCTTGTAATGTTTGCAGATGATCCAGAACTGGGGGGAGCAGCTAGACCAGATGCTTGCACTGCTGGTGAGAGGGACCTGGACAAGCTGAAGAAATGGTAAGAAATTAACCTCATGAAGATCAGCAATGGAAAAAACAAAGTCCTGCATCTGAGGAAGTACAACCCCAGACACCGGTACACCTGGTTTGCAGCTGTTTTCCTCCAGTCAGATCAGATGCCACAGTTACAGGGTCATGGTGGATTAAGGCAGCAAGTGCCATTCTAACCAGAACATTGAGTGCCCAGAGCCTTCTGGGCCTTTAAAAACATTTTACTTAGAATCAGAATCACAGAATCATAGAATCATTAAGGTTGGAAAAGGCTGGTCAGCCTCATCTCAATCCCTAAAAAGGTGATGGAGCAACTAATCCTGGAAATGAGTTTCAAACACATGAAGCACAAAAATGTCATCAGAAGTAGTCACTATGATTTATGAAGGGAATAATCATGCTTAACCAATGTGAAGACCTTCTACAATGAGGTGACTCGCTTGGTGTCTTGAGGGGAGAGTAGATCCAACAGTGGATGTTCTTTACCTTGCCTTTAGTAAGGCTTTTGACACTGTCTCCCAAAACGTCCTTGTAGACAAACTGAAAAAAGTATGGGCTAGAAAAATGGACAGTGAAGTGGTCTCAAGACTGTCTGAATGACTGGGCCCAGAAAGTTGTGATCAGTGGCACAAAGTCCAGCTGGGGACAAGTCACTAGTGGTGTATCCCAGGGTCAATATTAGGGCTAATATTGTTTAACATCTTCATGAGTGACCTGGATGATAGGACAGAGTGCACCCTTGTAATGTTTGCAGATGATCCAGAACTGGGGGGAGCAGCTAGACCAGATGCTTGCACTGCTGGTGAGAGGGACCTGGACAAGCTGAAGAAATGGTAAGAAATTAACCTCATGAAGATCAGCAATGGAAAAAACAAAGTCCTGCATCTGAGGAAGTACAACCCCAGACACCGGTACACCTGGTTTGCAGCTGTTTTCCTCCAGTCAGATCAGATGCCACAGTTACAGGGTCATGGTGGATTAAGGCAGCAAGTGCCATTCTAACCAGAACATTGAGTGCCCAGAGCCTTCTGGGCCTTTAAAAACATTTTACTTAGAATCAGAATCACAGAATCATAGAATCATTAAGGTTGGAAAAGACCTCTAAGATCATCAAGTCCAACTGTTAATCCATCACCACCATGCCTGCTAAACCATGTCCTGAAGTGCCATATCTACATGTTTTTTGAACACCTCCAGGGATGGTGACTCCACCACTTCCCTGGGCAGCCTGTTCCAGTGCTTGACCACTCTCTCACTAAAGAAATTTTTCCTAATATCTGACCTAAACCTCCCCTGATGCAACTTGAGGCCATTGCCTCTCATCCTATTGCTAGTTATTTGGGAGAAGAGACCAACACCTTCCTCACTACAATCTCCTTTCAGCTAGTTGTAGAGAGCAATAAGGTCTCCCCTCAGCCTCCTCTTCTCCAGACTGAACAATCTCAGTTCCCTCAGCTGCTCCTCATACGCCTTGTGCTCTAGACCCTTCACTCGCTTTGTTGCCCTTCTCTGAACACACTTCAACAACTCAATGTCCTTCTTGTAGTGAGGGGCCCAAAACTGGACACAGTACTCCAGGTGCGGCCTCACCAGTGCCAAGTACAGGGGCACAATCACCTCCCTACCCCTGCTGGCCAACCTATTCCTGATATAAGCCAGGATGCCGTTGGCCTTCTTGGCTACCTGGGCACACTGCTGGCGCATGTTCAGCCAGCTGTCGACTAACACCCCCAGGTCCTCTTCTGCCACTTTAATGTTGGAAAATTGCAATTCCGTCTATCTATGGAGTTGGTGCTGAGCTGAAATAATACAAGCATCAGGCACAGGCTTTACTGTCTCCACTGGCTTCATATTGCTTCTGAAATAGTCTGCTCTCAGGGGCTTGGATGCACTCAGCAGCAGTAAAATGATTGAAGATTGCTAATTATTTTCCCTGTGTTAATCATCTGTATGCCTCATGTATTGTACAGCCAACACTGACCTTTTCTGATAGTACCTATGCCCTTGCTGTGATACCCGTAAATGTAAAATTTCCACTTACTAGAGTGATTCTAATTAAGCTAAAGTAGATCCTTGCTGTTTTGAGAAGACAGGAAAGCTCTAAGATAAAGAAGCTCCTCAGTAACCCTACTTAGACAAATTTCACTTGCTGTTTTGGGGATGAAAGGAAAGCTCTAAGATAGAGAGACTCCTCAGCCTTGGGAGGGCAGAAGCACCAAGCTACAGAGATAAAGAGGCACCAAGAGGGCAACAAGACCAGAGCAAAACAACCTGGAAGGACACAGTATGCGTGATCTTAGAATTGAGTTTGCACAGAAACAGAGGTCAACCAGCGGACACTGTGATGAGAAGTGTAAGCCTTCATCTTGAGACCCCCAAAGACCACCCGAGGACACTAACCGACATGCGTGAAAAGACATTAAACATATGCTAATTAGTTATTGGGAAAGTCATGAATATGCTAAGCATTTCTCAGAAATATAATGAATATGTATATTGTGATTGCATTTAACCTGAAATGACAGGCTGTTGGTGCGCACGTTTGGAGGAGAGATCCCCCGTGTGCCTGGTGTTGTAATAAAGAATACCCGCTTAATAGTCTTCTGACTATTGAGTCTTCGATTCTGGCTTTTCATGGCATCAGTTGTGTGAAACAAAAAACACGCTGTGCCTGCAGTCATGTATCTAACGAAAGGCTTTAAACTCTCTTCTAAGCTTTCTCAGCTACAGATTAGGACTTTCCTCCTAAATGAAAGGATGAGAGAAGGTTAATTCCCAGGATGCACAGAGTAGCTACAGTGTTCGACAAGTTCCGCTGACCTCCCCCCTGTTTGCTGCTCCTCCTCCATCCTCCCTGGCTCACATCTCCTCAACCAGATATGAAAAATACCTTGGAGGACATTTTTAGTGCATGTGAATATACAATCTAAGTAATGGATGGGTGTTTTCTGTGCCTCTGAGTGAAAGCACTGCAGTTGAAGGAGGCTATATTTTCCCCCACACCTCCTGTGTGCAAAACTCAGTCCAGGAACTGCCACTGAAACTTCTTTCATGCTGTGTGCTTCTCGTCCCTGGCTAGCCCTTGTTCCTGGGTGAGGGACCTGCTTCAGCAGTGACAGAAGAGCAGGAGGAAGAGCTAAACACCATAATCCGTCTGGACCACTTTGACTCACTGCTCTCCATTTAAAGAACTCCTTTGACTGGGGCTAGGCTAGTGACAGTGATTGGTTTTCTGGCCTTGGTTCCTTGGACAGCAGACTGGGAAACAGACTTTGAAGCAAACAGACTTACCACGTTTCAATGCTCAGTCACTGAGATGAGCATCACTCATGGTGAGAATTAGTAAGGGAAGGTCACATTTGCTTTTTCTGTGTGAGTGAATATCTGTAATATGCAACAGGAATAGTTTTTTCATTTCACCCAGTGTCAGTTTACAGATAATGTCATATTTTTGATGGGCAGTTTTTTCAGGTGAATTTCAAATTAGTTTAATAAGAACAAACCATCTGAGATCAAGGTCATCCTGGGACAAGGTTCTTCCAACAGACTGGTTAGCAGTTACCCCCAATTACAGAATCAAAAATAGAAACGTATTTAGAAAATAGAAACAGAACTGGATTGTAGCCTTGAGTTACTGAAATTAAGCACAAAACATGTGCTGGGTAAATTACGTGCCTCTTGTTGTGCCTCTAGATGACTTTTTGCTACTCTTAAAAAGCATGACTTGCTGATTGCACTGTAGAAGTGAGGAGCAGGTCTGGCATAATAATATGACTGCCTGGGAAATTAATTACTCCTTCTCTTGCTGGCTTCTCTGGCAGGAGTGATGAAAGGTGATTTTGGTAAATTCAGAAAATGCTTATGCTTTAACCACAGTAAACCTAAACCATGAGGACAGTCAGTCAAGCTCCTCCTGAGAGAGTAACTTGAGAAACTAACAAATTATACTAACTTCAACCTTTCAAAATTTTCCAAATTTTATTTACTAATGGTCCCAATTATCCTAGAAAGTCCCCTTTCCCAAAGTAAAAATAAATGAATGACTGCGTTATGTATATGACAATTAAAAAAAGAAAGTTAAAAAAAAAGTATGCAAGTATGCATGCATTCATCAGGAGTTCTGGGTTAATGTCTGAGTTGGCTTCCTTTCTTGGATTTACTGAATTTCAGAGCT